AAGATTTCTACAAAAGAAATTAAAGGGTTTATTATACTCACAGAGAGGGAGGCAGGGCATACCTCACCACACAGCAGCCGCCTCCCTGTGGGGAGCTGAGAGAGAGGACCTCAGGCACGTCTTGGAGGAGAAAGGAAGGTTCGAGGAGATTTCATTGTTTCCTGGAATGTCTAAGCCATAGTCAGTGTGTGCGCTCAGTCACTAAATTGTGTCCAATTCTTTGCGACTCCGTGGACTGTAGCCTACCAGTCTCCTCTGTGTATGGGATTCTCTAAGCAAGAATACTGGGGTAAGTTGCCATTTCCTCCCCCAGGGGATCTTCCTGACCCAGGGATCCAGCCTGCATCTCTTGCACCTCTTATATTAGCAGGCACATTCTTTACCACTGCATCACCTGGGAAAAGAAAATACTGTAGCAGGAACCAGCCTGAACACACTGGCCCACTGGGTTCCTTGGGTAGACACTCACAGCCTGTGTGTGTTGAGGCAGCAGAGAACTAGGGAATTTAAAACAATTTACAATCCAGTCATCTTCACTCTATTCTCATTTTCAACCTTATTTTCCTTCTTCAAGGTGAGAGAAACAAGACTTTGCTATTGCTCAGAAAAGTTCCAAAATGTCCAATCCTTAGTCTTCTGAAAGTTAGGGAGAGGAAACTGACTTCCTATTAGTTAGTGGTGATATGGCATTGAAATATCAGACATCCAGCTGAGGCTTCTATGGTGCCCACTGGGCTCATCAACACCCAGCTACGAGCATTGTTCAAACTCCTCAGTGCATTCATTATAGTGCAAAAGCAAAGAACACCTTGTCTTTCTGTTTTTGTTCCTTCTGCCACTGTCTTTATTCTTGTTTTTGTCTTTCAGTCACTAAGTTGTGTCCGAATCTTTGCAGTCCTGTAGACTGCAGTATGCAAGGCTTCCCTGTCCTTCACTATCTCTTAGAGTTGGCTCAAAACTTTATTCTATCTTTCCTCGTTCTACAGACTGTTGGCCATGGAACTCTGGTTAGTTTTTCATTATATATATAGCACCAATACATCTTCCCTCGTTGGCAGGAGTAGTCAGGAAGTCACTGTTAACCTCTGTTTTGTAGAAGAAATTGGAAGTGCATGGAGATTAAGAGATTTACCCAAGTCAGAATCACAAGAGGTCAGGCATTCTTAGTTCTTGTGACTTAAAAAAAAGAATATTGTCCTCTGCATACATTCATCACTGCCTCACTAAGTTTGTATGCATGGCAACAGGGGCAGAAAAGGCTCTGGGGGCCTCAGTGCCTGGGTGTCCGTCACCGCCTCCAGGGAGGGATCCCAGGAGCAGCAGCGCTGAGGGGGCTCACTGCCCGCAGTTCAGCTCCGTTCAGTCCAGTCGCTCAGTCGCGTCCGGCTCTCTGCGACCCCATGAACCACAGCACGCCAGGCCTCCCTGTCCATCACCAGCTCCCGGAGTACACCCAAACCCATGTCCATCGAGTCGGTGATGCCATCCAGCCATCTCATCCTCTGTCGCCCCTTCTCCTCCTGCCTTCAATCATTCCCAGCATCAGGGTCTTCCCCAATGAGTCAGCTCTTCACATCAGGTGGCCAAAGTATTGGCGTTTCAGCTTCAGCATCAGTCCTTCCAATGAACACCCAGGACTGATCTCCTTTAGGATGGGACTCTCAAGAGTCTTCTCCAACACCACAGTTCAAAGGCATCAATTCTTCTGTGCTCAGCTTTCTTCATAGTCCAACTCTCACATCCATACATGACCACTGGAAAAGCCATAGCCTTTGTTGACAAAGTAATGCCTCTGCTTTTTAATATGCTGTCTAGGTTGGTCATAACTTTCCTTCAAAGGAGTAAAGGTCTTTTAATTTCATGGCTGCAATCACCATCTGCAGTGATTTTGGAGCCCAGAAAAATAAAGTCAGCCACTCTTTCCACTGTTTCCCCATCTATTTGCCATGAAGTGATGGGACCAGATGCCATGATCTTAGTGTTCTGGATGTTGAACTTTAAGCCAGCCTTTTCAGTCTCCTCTGTCACTTTCATCAGGAGGCTCTTCAGTCCTCCTTCGCTTTCTGCCGTGAGGGTCCCTGCCCCCAGCCTCCCTCTTCGCTCTCCCGGGCCGAGATAGAGCTCTGTGGGCGGCTCCTGTGGTCCCTCGGGGCCCTCCTCACGGGTCCAGCTTTGAATCCTAGAGGCCGAGCCCATGGGGCCTGTCAACCACCTGCCCGTTTGCACAAGGATGACGGGTACTCAGTGATGGGACAGGCAGAGCTTGCATAGGAGCACCGAGGCAGTGAGCTGCTCCTCTGTGCTTGCTTAAACCTTTGAGAAACGCATAGGGAACTGAAGATGCCATCCTTCTATCAGGACATCTACCACCCTTGTATCACTTTCAATACATAGCATACTCAAAAACACAAACTAAAAGCTTCTTCAAGGCAGAAGAACAGGGGAGTTCTGTCTTGGAATACTCCTACAATATCTGAAGTTAGTATTTAAAATGAGAAAAAAAAATAGCTGAAGTATTGTTCTTAAAATCACCCTGTAAGCAGCTATAAAATTCTTTAAGAGAAATAGCTCAGGACAGAAATATAATAGAGACTGCACACATTCATGAATTTATCTGCCTCCTAACACGTCCAACCTGTGAAGTGTGGAGCATTTTATATGCTAGAGGCATAATTATAAATCACTAAAATACTCACTTGATCACGCTGCAGTACATTTTTATTGCTTTACTTGAATGCTCACTTAAGGTTTTTCTCTGAAATGTACTCAGAGCAGAGACAGTTATACAATAAAAGTGAGAAATTGTAAAAGCATAACACTGTCTTAGAAATAGTCCATACAGAAACCACTTACTCAGGCACAGACTTTCCACATGTTTTACGTTCTGTCCACAGAGCTAGCCCAGGGCAGAATAGTAAGGCGGTCAAAGAAAGTGTCCTGTCATTTCCCTCTTACCAACTCAGACATCAACATTTTCTCCCACTCTTTCAGTGCCAGTTGCTCTCAGCTGAGAATAAAGGAGGTGAAAATGTTAACTGAAATCACCATCTTCAGTGGGTGCTTGCAAGGTCCCCTTGGACCTTGAATCTAGACATTCAACCACTAGATAGGATAAGAGGGGAGGGCACAAGATGATGGACTAGGTTTGGAACCAGCATATATCACACCCTGAAGCTGAAGCTGAAACTCCAATACTTTAGCCACCTGAGGCGAAGAACTGACCCATTGGAAAAGATCCTGATGCTGGGAAAGATTGAAGGCGGGAGGAGAAGGGGAGGACAGAGGATGAGATGGTTGGATAGCATCACCAACTTGATGGACATGAGTTTGAGTAGGCTTGGAGTTGGTGATGGACAGGGAAGCCTGGTGTGCTGCAGTCCATGGGGTCGCAAAGAGTCGGACACGACTGAGAGACTAAACTGAACTGATATCACACCCACCCAGATTCCACTGACCATTACTGATATGTAATCTCGGGACTCCATTGGAATAGGAGCAGGAATCTCTAGAGGACAGCTAGGTATCTCTGCCACTGACGGCCTCGTGAGAATGTGACTTTCAGGTAAAGTTCCTAATGAGGCTCAGAAGCAAATCTTACCAACATCTGTGTGGAGAATATAATAACCACAATAAACAGCCAGTGTAATAAGACTCTAGGGGGCTCCAGGGCCTGTAGTAGGAGGCCACTTCATCAGTCCAACTGAGACATAATGGTGGCCTGTACCAATAGGTAGCGTTGGGGATGGTGAGAGGAGGTAGTTGTTCTAGCTGTATTTTAGTGACAGAGCTGACGGAATTTGCTGTAGGATTAGAGTTGAGATAAAGGAATCACTCTTCTACTCTTTTTGGCCTGATCAGCTAGAAGAATGGAGAATCGTTTACTGAAATGAAGTATTGTCAGAAAACATTTATTACGAAAACTAATTTTATTTCTGATTAGCCAGCTACTTTTTTAGTAGAATCACATCTTTTTTTTTTAACCATCCTTTATTTAATAGAGTTTCCTTGAAGCATTATTTTCTTTTTGGCCATTTTCTAGTAGAATTATGCTTTAAAATATTTTATTTAATAAAAAATTTTATGTATAAACTTTAACACTAAAAATTTTCAATCTAAATGTTTGTAAATTTTACTCTGTCATTCTCTGACTCACACAATTTCTTTCTAAGGTACTAGAGAAGGACAGACTCGTCTAATCAGAGATGGAGAGAAAGTCGAAGCCTACCAGTGGAGTGTTAATGAAAGGAGATGGATAAAAATCGGTGATGTTGTTGGGTCCTCTGGTGCTAGTCAGCAAATGTCTGAAAAAGTTTTATATGAAGGGAAAGTATGTCAACTTCTGCTTTCTAATTACCGTTATCTTAAAGCATTTGACAAATTATTGGTTTTGTTTCCCTTTCCCCATGCTAATAAAATTTTCTTTGGTATTTTGACATTTAAAAATATATTTCAATGGGGAGATTCTCTCTGTTTTTGACTAGATTTTTTAAAGTATCTTTGCATGCAGAGAGAGCTCCTTTTGTGATGGATGCATTGGCCATGATTTGCCTTTTGGTAGTTGGGTGCATAAGCTATTCCCAACCATTTTGGGTTTGGCAATTCTGTGCCACCTTTCATCTCATGCTTCATGCCTAGCTATATTTAACTTGACAGGCTATGAGGGACCCTGCAGGGCTGTGCTTATAATGCTGGCATGTGTTTTATGAACATATTTTCAACAGCTAATACCTTTGGCCTTGAGATCAACTAATTGCCAACCAATCTTGGTTTTACAGTTAATGAGTTGTCATAATCCATCCCCTAAGTCTGCTCCAGTGAACTATCACTCTTACAGCACATGCAGATGGTTGCTATTAATCAGTATCTGCCTAGTAGAAGTTTTAATATTGTGCTTTGGAGAAAGTTTAACACTATCATTATTAAAATAACTCTGTGTTATATATGTCTTTAGTATATAACAGACAGTAATCATTCATCTCCTTTTTATATTCCCATTTAAGGAATTTGATTATGTTTTCTCAATTGATGTCAATGAAGGTGGACCATCATATAAATTGCCGTATAATATCACTGATGATCCCTGGTTAGCTGCATACAACTTCTTACAGAAGAATGATTTGAATCCTATGTTTTTGGATCAGGTCGCTAAATTTATTATTGATAACACAAAAGGTCAAATGTTGGGACTCGGGAACACCAGTTTTTCAGATCCTTTTACAGGTAAGTTAGGGTTTGTATTAAGTCTTATATATTAATACTCCCATCAGTGTTGATTATCTTTTGTGTGTGTGTTTAAACACCTATTATGATTAACTATTTAAATAAAAAAATAAAAAACCAAGATCTACAGCAGGATTTTGCTTCAGATTTACATCTTTGAGCTTCAAATTATATAGTAATTTTGTATTTATAGAAATAATTGTAAATTGTTCTCTTTGAAAAATACAGCCACACTGTAAACTAAATAAACTAATTCAGAAACTAATTCAGCCATTTGAAATGAAAAGAAGCTTGTAAGTTCCTTTATGTTACTACTTAACATTATTTTGGTGAAATTTATTAAATGGAAATTCTGTTTTCACATGGGGCTAAACAGGTTAGTTATGCATCAAATCTAGAACTGAACTGTGGGTAATTTTAGTTCATGTGTTATCTGTATTCCTCATGTTCATTTTAAGTCACTTGTTTATTACATAGTATACAGTGTTTAAAGTGTTATCAATAGGATTAGGTTTTCATACCAGGAGTATTATAACCCCAGTTGTGTTAGTTTTGAGTCCTCAAGTGGTGTTTAATTCTAGAAGTGTTAGCCTGAGTTCTAGGTCCTGGAAACCAAGGCTATGGTATGGGAGGAAATACAGTTCTCCCTCTTGTCTTAAATATAGGGTCAGCCCTAAATAAAAGTTTTTTTTTTCTTCTCTACCAGCCCATGACAAGGCGATGATTGCTTCCAGTTTTCTCCCCACCCAACAGACTGCCTCTGTTCTGCCCATCAAATCTGCTCCGTATCTCTACCAATAGCACTGTCCTCCACCCCACTGGCCCAGACTTCGCTTGAACAGCATCCCGGTTCTTGTCATTTCTGACCTCATCTTTCATGCGCTGGTGTTCTTCCTTTTTACAAGGATTGCACATTCTGTTCTTGTCTCAGATCTTTTTTTTTCCTTCTTCCCTCACAGATGCTTCATGCTCCTAAATCATCTCTCCTTCTAGTTCAAAATTCTGTTGTTCATTCACATCATAGAGCTAATCTCAGCTGCATGTTGATTTAAACAGCGGTATCAGACTGAATCACTACAGAACTACAAATAATGGAACCCTCCCAGATGCACTTGACAGAAAAAGGGAAAAGAAAGCTTATATCTGGATATTTCTGGTTGGAATATCAGCCTACAGTACAAAAGAGTACTGCATTGTATAAGCTGTCTTGTGGGATAGATAGAGGACAGATGTTAAAGCAGCTGTCTGTGTCTGTAAATCTAACTGTCTACGCTTTTTTGCTCTTCTGAAACTCTATCAGCATCCTCAGATATATCTTTGGTAGATGCCTCCAATTATTTCCTTAGAGATCCTAACAAAACCTACTCACACATACCGCCTGTTTGTAAAGGAATAAATGGGAAATCTGCTTCCTTTGTGGCACTCGTCCCCTTTGTAATTTTCTTCTCCAGTAGGTTGTAAGCTTCAGTGGATACAAGCAATCTTGTTCCCTGCTGGATCTCCACACTGAATGTACTATTTGACACATGAATTAATGAACCTGGAGGTTCTCTAAAAGATTAACATTTGCTGCCTGTGGTTTTGATAGCAACAGCAGCAGGAATTCTAGTGAATTTGTATAGGAACAGGGATTGATTGTATGGTATATTATTTAGGTCAGAGACCAACTCCAATTTATCTTTCTATATTTGGATTCCTAGTTATTTTACTATTTAAGTGCAGAAGCTAAAATATAATAAAAAGTATTAAAGTTAACAAAAACAAAACTTAGAGAATCACTGAAATTTTAGTTTTTTACTAACCAACTGTAAGACTTCTGACGATAACTCCTCTTATTCTGTCTTTTGTTGCCTTGCTCTTTTTTCTCCACACTTAGTGTCTTCTGATGTAAGCAGTGTGCTATTTATGAAAGTCAGAATTTTGACGTGCTTCAGATTTTCCTTTGTTTACATGCACAGGTGGCGGTCGGTATGTTCCAGGCTCTTCATCAGGATCTTCTAACACCCTTCTTGCAGCGGATCCTTTTACAGGTGGGAAGCAGTTTTGAGCAATATGACTTTCTTCCTGAAATACGTAATATTTTGCATTCTGTAGCTTAACATTTTGAAGATATAATCCATTAACTGGTAATTCCCTTATCTGTATTTCCAATTTCATGAATCTCCTTTTTAACTTCTTATTTTTCCTTTTCCTTGAGTACTTTTCTAGCTTTCCCTCCTGACTTTTAATAACATATTATTAAAATTCATCATTTACTCCAGTGGTCCTTCCTGAAAGGAGAGCAGCGTCATTAAAAGCCTAGATTTTAGAGTCAGACAGACCTTGGTTCAAAATCTGGCTCTACCACTTATGAGAAGTTGGCAAGTTACTTAACCTATCTGAGCCTATTTTTTTTATCTGTGAAATTAGATAATAGGGGAATCCACCACCCAAGACACAGCATGAGTGCTGTCACTGGCGAGATGCTACTGATCATGAGCAGAGAAGGAGCCATGTGAGTCCTGGATGTTGGATGGAGCAGTGCAGTCAAGAAGTTTGCCCAGGCACATTTTGCCTTTAGCATGGAAGGAGACAGTCCACCCAGCTACCCAGGATTAGTCTTCCTAATCTAAGTTACTAATGACCTTCATGAAGCCCTGGAAGTGTTGGTGTAGCTCTTCAAAGTGACTTTATTTACCAAAGGTACGCATGCCTCAGCATCAACACCACTGGAAAAAAAATTGGACTTTAATGCAACTGAAGAATCTCTTTTCAGAATAGCATTTGATGTATTTTATGATGCTGTTTTTGGACCTTCAGCCAGAGTTCCTGGACAATGTACCAAATTTGGGAAGAGATTCATAGCATTTATAGTATCTATTGGTCCTGCAGACTTAGTACTGTGAGCCCTAAAAGTGATACCATATGGCCCTATCTAAACCATAGAAGGGACCAACACACAACCTTGGGTCATATCCTGAAGCTGTGAGCTGCTCTCACTAGGCTTCCCTTCTCCTGAGAATGCATTGGTGGCCCAGATGCAAATAGCTCTACCCTGTGCAAGTGTACCAGTGTACTACAGAAACCAACTATCAAGCAAAATGTTGTGATAGCATGATGGCTATTAAGGAAGTCTTTGGTGACCCTGAAAAGGTAGGAAAGATCTGAAAAGTAGATCAGACGATCACTTTCTCTGTCGGCATACTCAGGTACAGTGATGCCCTGAAACTTAGAACAACAGAGTTCCTGAATCTCATTAGCAGCTCTTTTTGGAACAGAAAGACTATTATACCAAGCTTCAAACAGTACCAACAAAGTCAAGAGAACAACTGGGGCCATCGTAACCGGAGCTTGTCTCACTGTTGCACAATATCAATAACTCAGAAGATTCACTGATATGGAGATATGCAAGATAGCATACTAAAAATCCAGGAGAATTCTGAAGTAATAGGTTAACTGATCCACAGTTATCAAAAAGATAGATAACATTTCCATATTGAGATGTTATAAAAAATTCTGTAGTACATGCAAAGTGTTTAGCAAAATGCCTGGAATATATTAATAATGTTTAAGCCCTCAATATATGTTAGCTCTTATTATTATTGATGTTGTACCTCCAGTTTTACCAATAGCCCTGGGGCCAGAAGATTTCTGCATCTTGCTTACAACTTAAGGTCAATCTTAATTCTTTGTTTTTTTCCTTATTTATGGAATGCTTGTTGAAATTAGTTATTGCAAGGTCCCACCCGCAAAAATTCTGATGCACTACATTAGTGAGGAGGTTAAAAATACTTAAAGTCTGACCCCTTAGCCAGGAATTCTAATTAAGTGGTCTGTCTAAATTTTTTAAATATTTATTTATTTATTTTTGACCGTGCTGGGTCTTCATTACTGTCCATCGGCCTTTTCTAGTTGCAGGGCTGGGGGGCTCCTCTCTAGTTGCTGTGCGCAGGCGTCTCACTGCCGTGGCTTCTCCTGTTGCAGATCATGCTGGGCTCTAGGGTGTGCGGGGCTCCATGATCGAGGCACATGGGCTCAGTAGTTGCAGCAGCTCCCAAGCTCTGGAGTACAGACCCAGTAGTTGTGGTACATGGGCTCCATGGCATCTTCCTGGACCAGGGATCAAACCGATATCCCCTCCATTGCAGGATGAATTCTTAACCACTGGACCACCAGGGAAAACCCTGATTAAGTGGTCTTGGATGCGGTTTGCTGTTTAGGTAGTTTTGAAAGCTCCCCATTGGTTTCTAAAATGAAGCTAATTTGAAGTACCACTAAGCATTTATGGGCAGGTCCTGGGAATCTGCATATTGAACCAGTGACTCTCATTCAAATTGGTCTGAAAACCACATTTGGCACAGTGTAGGACTACATTCTGCCTCATAATGCCTTGGGCAAATTATTCAGCCTTGCTTTTGTGAATTTTTATGAATAACAATGATACCTAATTAATATTTAAATGAATTCCTGCATATAAGATACTTAGCTTGCTAGCCAGCATATTGTGAAAACTCAGCAAATCCACTTACTCTGTGTTCTTCATGATTTTAATGAATGCCATTCACCTCTGTAGTTTTGTTTTTTAGTTTTGTTTGCTTTATCTGTATCTGTTGCACTGGTTATACCAACTCCTGAATGTTAAAATCAGAGGGGCTAGAATAATAAGTAGCTCATCTTCTTTCTTCCCACAAAAGCTGATCCAGGACTCTGAGTATCTCCAAATTCTGCTGATTCTCTATACTTGTTTTTCCTGTCTCTTTCTTTCCATTGTCAATAAAGCAGCTACAAGTATTCTCAAATGTGAGACTGGGCTCTTATCATGGAATCTCTGACTCTTACCTAGTTTCTTTTCTGTTTGTCTTATATGCCAGCGAATCCTGTGTCTATATTTCAATAGAATAGTGTCCACGTTTTATAATGAAAACTTGTGACTTTCTCTCCAGTCTAATAGCCTTTGTAATTCATTAAACTTCTATAATTATAGTATATAAGGCATGTAATTACTTGAGGATAACTTCTCTGGCTAATTTTATTGGAATCTAACTACATGCCTGATAATATTCTAAGCATTTTGCTCTTTTAAATTTACAACCCATTTATTAAGCCCGTTTATTAAGATGTCATTTTGAAAGTGTAACTAATAATGAAAATAAGTCATTCTGTGTAAAGAAGGAGCAGTTTGAACTTTAGTATAATGTGCCATTACCCTGTGCTTACTGTGAGTATTATTGCATTTTAGGTGGTGGTCGGTATGTACCAGGGTCTGCAAGTATGGGAACTGCCATGGCTGGAGTCGATCCATTTACAGGTACACACTTTTCACTTCCTTTTCTTGTTTTTAGATTTTTAAAGCTCATTAGAACTTTTATGTAATAAAAGTTTAAGAAAATTGGCATCTTTTTCTTGCTGGAAAACATTTTATAAAGTAAATCAAGACCAAACACTTTTCGAGTGTTCTCAGAATTGTGTCATTACCTCGTGCTGGAATCATCTGGGTAGCTTAGAAAAAGTCCTTCAGCCTCGTCCTCAGTGATGCTCACTTGATCTAATGTTGCTCTCGGTTGAGGTCTTAGCAAGGGTAGTTTGATGATTTTCTCATATGCAACCAGGATGGAAAAATGCTGTTCTGTGTTAAGGCTGGTTTCCTCAGTATCCTTACAAAGTCTTAGTTTGTTCCCATCTCTTCCTCTTCATTCTTACATAATGTGTTTAGAATGTTATTTACTGTGTTACACATTGAGAGGACTCAGAAAGGAATTTGCTTTTACCATTTAGGCCTGGAATATTTGGCTTTCCCCTGAGCAAGCTTTTTTTTTATTCTTAGTATCTAGCATAGACTCCAACACATCTTAATCGTTCATCATTGTTGAATATATGCAGGCATGCTGTTTCCCTCTGTATTGACTGCCAGCAAAATGCAGAACTGAGTTTGTGGTTCACCTCTTGAAAGTTTGAGAGATCTCTTGGCGTATATATTTCCCTATTTATTATTTTTTTAAATTTATTTTATTGAAGTGTAGTTGATTTACAGTGTTGTATAACTTCTGCTGTAGAGCAAAGTGATTCAGTTATATATCAATATATGTTCTTTTTCATATTCTTTTCCATTATGGTTCATCACCCTAGTGGAATTATTGAATATAATTCTTTTGTACTGAATACGGTTCTCTGTGCTGTTCATTCAGTAGGACCTTGTTGTTTATTCACTCTGTATCATTGTCTACCTGTTTATTATTTTATATGAGAAATATAGAGAATATATGTGATATGTTATTGAGCACAATAAGAAGTTCAAAAACCCACCACTCTACTTGAGAACTAAGTTGGAATATGATTTTGTAAGCTATTTTTTCATTGTAAAAGTAACATTGGCTGGCAGTATTGAAGTTTAACATAGTGATTAATTAAGATTAAGGACTCTGGAGTAAGAATGCTTTGATTGAAGTCTCAGTTCCACTACTTTTTATGTGTTTTACCTTGAGCAAGTCATTTTGTTTCTGTCTTTTTCTCATTTGCAAAATTGTATCTACTTTCTAGAGTTGAAAGAGTTTAAAATGACAAAATATATAAAAATAATTTTCTACAAAATAAATGCTTAGTAATCTTAGTTGTAGCTATTATACTACAAAAGAGTCTTAAATTCACAATATTTCCTCCCATTTTTCAGAAATTAAAGTCTTTTAACAATTTTTATATACTGGACCTTTATCTTAGCCATTGTCATCGCTCACCTAGACTAATGAAATACTGGCCTCTGAATTGGTCTCACAGTGGTCCTCTGTTTATGCCCCTCCCGTGATTAAAGCACCATTACAGCTCCCCATCGACTGTTTTCTCTTGCCTTGCATCACATTCCTTTCTGCCTCTTTTCTGCCATACTGACCTGCTTCAGTGTCTTGAATGTGGCATGCTGTTTTCTACCTTAAGAGTTTGGTACATGTTGTTCTCCTTTGGAATATTTGCACCTTTTGCATTGCTACTTAGACCACTAATTGTTTGGCTTTCCCCCTCCTTTTTCTTTTTTATTTAATTTTGCTATATAGTATTTACT